GAGTAGAAAAGCGACTGACTGCATGACATCTTCTATATCTAAAACATCAAACGCTTTTATTTAGATTGAGTGATACATAATCATATAAAAAAAAACTCTCAGCTGTGAATTATCGTTTTCTGCATTGTTATAGTCTCCGAACGAAATAGAATTAAGTGTAGAAAACAATTAGCATACTTAAGTCGTGATATATCAAAATATTGCCGATATTTTGAATATATCATAGTTCTAAAAGTTATATCAAATTTTATAGTCTAGCTTTTACAATATGTCGTCCTATGTCTAGAACAATAATAGTTACAGCATTGAACTATTCCATACATTTCAGTATTAATTATTCCTTTAAAATTCGATAGATAAATTACTTTATTTTTTCTGTTAAATTTGTTAATAATCCCTACGCATGATCGGGTACTCGGTATCCTACCTGATAACATATGAGATCTTAACGTTTCGAAATATTTTTACTTTTTCAAACTACTCTATATCTAAAAAATATAGGAATGGAAACTAGTTTGATAGGTCACAATAATGGGAATTGATATTGTTTGACTAGAAGACTTCGTTTTTTAATAAAAACTTATCTATAGATGATGATTAATCATAGAACGAATTACCTAAATCCATGGAGATGAAAACGAACTATAAAATATAATGATGTTGTCAAAGTATTCATTTTTGTATAGAGTTAAAACAGTACAAAAAAAAAATCAAAACTATTTACTTCATCAAACTTTGTATTCAACAATGTTACAAATGATCAATGGAATTTTGTTGTTGTTGTTGTTGTATTTATGTCATAGATGACTAAAATAAAACAATAATATGGTAAATTTTTAATATGTAATTGAAAGTGCTTAGATACGGAAACACAATAATAAATAATCGAATAATGTATCGTTTGAAAGAATGACTCTTCTTGATAAGTTTGAGATATTTACTAAATCAAATATAGTCAAATATCGATAATTGAATTTGATTCGTCTGTGATGTTTACAGATTTTTCTTTTCTCGAATGAAAATCATAATGAATAATATGTAATTGCAAGAATCTCGGAAGAAATATCAAACTCTATTATACTATATTGTCGACTAATAAAAAATTTCCTGTTTGATAGAAATAGTTATGTCTAAACTACAAATTTTGTAACAGGGATATTTTTTTCAGAACATATCTAACAAAGAAGAAGAGCTCAAAACTAAACTCTTTCGAAAACAAAAAGAACTTGTAATGTCACTATCGAACAATCGGACTTTTCATTTTCGTTTAGTGTTTTTTAAATCATAAAAGAAATGAAAAAACATATTTAATGTGAATGTTTTCAATCGTTAAGAATACACTTTCCAATGATATATTTGCGGAAATTAAACTCATTCTTGATGTTTTTACTAAAAAATACCTTTTTCTAAAAGAAAGACTATAAATGCGTTAGTCGTTTTTTTACTATCTGACCATTTTGTAATGGTAAATAAGTGTTTTTTTGAATTATTCCGTCTTCTAAATTTCTATACTCTGTAATAGTTCAAATTAATAACGCAAAAAGAATTTTAATTCATACATCATTTCCGGAGATGATGACTGATTTTCTTGTAAATTATAAAAGATTGTATTTTACAAAAATTTCCTTTCTCAATTGTTTTTTAATTAAAAAGTCTGAAATTTGATAGAGTTTATGATGCGCTACATATTTATCTATTTTTCTTTTAATTTGATTCATTCATAGTGTACAAAAAAATTCAGAAATACATACTTTTCTAGATGAAAAAACATATTGCAAGAATATTGGTTAGATGTGTTCTGGAAAAATATTTCTAATATAAAATGTCTACCTCAGCTATTGCTCTTTCAAACATAATAAAAATATTTTTCTTATATTAGAACTCAACACTATGGTATAATTGAATTTTACATGTTTCTAAAGATTTTTGCATCGCAAATTAATATTCTTTATTAGATTTAGACTTTCCTATATGAATATGACAAAAGGATGCCAATAAGTTTTCATTAGGTATGTCGTATTAGGATTAAGATAAATACTAATACTTTTAAGTATTAGCATTCATCTTAATCCTAATGCTAATATAATACTTGCAGTCATGACTGAGTTGTCTAGCAGTCTTAAATTATTTTTTATTATAATTTAGAACAAAAAAATTTTATAACCTATTCACTGATGATAAATTACAAAATAGCATGTACGGCTGATTATTTTGTTTGGTTCAATAATAGAAAGTCTATGACTATTTTAATAGAGTTTCAATGAAGCATATTTATATCCTACTGATTTAACTTGCCATATTTATTATAATAAGTTTTTTGTAGAATAAGATTATGATCTCCTTGAAGATAGAAAATAACATATATATATATAAAGATTTTTTTGTTCAAGCGTAATTATTACTGTGCAATTACTAGCAATTCAAATCCTTTTTTTTTCTATTTGATGAGGGTATCAAGGATAAAAACAAATTCTAAAGATTTTGTCATGCGGATATAATAATATACATTCATTTAAAAATAAATGAAGAATATTTTCAAAGACTCCTATTAAAGCACTATGGTAATACGAACAAATGTACAACATACAAACAATGTTGATTAAAAATTCTTCTGATAGCAAATTGATCTAATACAAAATTTACTTAATATCATTATCATAAATATAATATTTCAAGTTCGCCTTAAATTCAACTTTATATTATTGTTCATAGGACAATATTCAAAAATGAAAGAATATTGTTTAAGATATGATTTTAAAGTTGAATTGTATTGCACATATTATGCTATATCTATTGCAAAATATAAAACAGCGTGTATATTGAAAGTAGCAAATATTCAGTAGTAAACTCAGAGGAGACTAAGGCTCCAAAATCCTGACTCCGCCAGTGTTGCTGTTAAAAAAATTTGTCTATGATGATATAGACATAAATCAACAAATTATTATCGAACAGTCTTATTCAAAACAATACTGTAGTGTAGCGGCATCCTTCATTTAAAATTTATCTGTTCTAAAAATAAAATACATATAGATGAATATATCGTTTGATTTAATATATATTTCTCGCATAATTTCTTTTTTGACACTTTCATCAAATCTAGATGTCATTTCATACGATATGCAATTTCGCATATCTCAGTCATACTTTACATTATGAAACTAGGAATTAGTATACTAATAATTATTATTGTTATTGTAGCAATTAGATCATATTCGTCCATACGAAATGCTTGTATATTTTGATTAATAATGCCATCTATCGTAATATTTATATGCTATATAAAAATGTAAAGATTGTTCATTTAGAATTTGAAAATATATTTTATAAATTATTAAACTTGTAATTAGAATGTCAATTTTGAAATGTATTTATAACCTTCAATCGTAAATGTTTGAGATGATTCATATGCCTATAAATGCAATCAATCAGGTAAACGATTGAGAAAAAACGAAACTAGTACATAATGAAAACGAAATTAATCATAAACAATGAACAAAGTTATTAGAAAAGTAACTTTATATTTTTCTTTTCTTTTTTATTTTATCATTAAATATAACCATAAGCAATATATTTTAACACATGATTGTTTTCATTAACCAAGTAGCTTGCTTAATCAATTGCTCACATAGACAAAAAAAAAAAAACTACGTCTTTTATTTTATCAAAAAATAATTTCATTTCAACATAGAATGAATTCTAATAGTAGTGGTGAACATCAAGTTCTAAATATAGATCATAATAATTTATCAAATATTAGTAATATAACACGTGAAAATCAACCAATTTTACTTTCACAATCAATTCATAATATGGCACTATCAAATAATAATCATATCTCATTATGGAATTCAACTATAACAGATGATATGGAATATGATGATACTATTCTTCAAGCTGAAAGAGCTATTGAAGGTGGAATATTACCAGTACGAATAGCAGCTGGTTCATCTGGTTCTTATTTTGTTCGAAATCTTGAAGGCGTATGTTTTTAGTTTTATTCAATGTATGAAAAAAAAAATATTCATTTTAATAGAAAAATATTGGAGTATTTAAACCAAAAGATGAAGAACCATACGGTCGTTTTAATCCGAAATGGTCTAAATGGTTCGTTTATTTCTTATGAAATCGAATCCATACTATCCTATATCAAATTGTAGGCTTCAAAAAACTCTATGTCCTTGTTGTTTTGGTCGAAGTTGTCTAGTTCATAATCAAGGTTATTTATCAGAAGCTGGTGCTAGTTTAATAGATACAAAACTTCGATTAAATATAGTCCCTAAGACACGTGTTATACATTTGACTGCTGATTCATTTAATTATCCTGCATATCAACGTCATTTAATAATAGCTAAACGTGAAATAAATGAAAGTGTAGGTCGACATATGCATGGTAGACGAGTATTTGAACCAACAGGATTACAAGCTAAAGTAAAACAAAAAAAGAAAATTAATATTGTTTTTATATGAATTTTGAAAACAAAAATATCTATTTAAGGTTGGATCATTTCAATTATTTGTTGATAATTATGTTAGTGCAGATGTTTTTCTTAAACAATTAGAACAGAATACATTACCAGAAGAAGATATGAATAAATTTCAAAAACAATTTGAAAGACTTGTTGTATTAGATTATATTATACGAAATACAGGTAATATTTTTCGAATAATTTCAAATTATAATCTATCGTTCATAAATAATTTTATTCTGAGTATTTTTATAATTTCACTTCAATTTTTCGCTTGATCGAAACATTTGTTTTTTCATGAAAAGATAGTGTTTGAAATTCTCTATACGTAAAGTTATATATGGTACAATAAAATCAAAAACAAAAATGTTATCAATATATTTGAAAAAAAAATACATGAAAATGAGGTTTAATACATTTTGTCATATCTTCTTGATCGTCGAAAGTGCAGTTCGAATAGAAGTGAGTGCCTTGAAGATTAAGCGGTGCTTACATTTAAAAACAAGAAAAACATCTATTAAAAGAAGGTAAAGACTGCTGTTAGCGCATGATTTCTCATGAAAGAAGGTCCAAGAGTCAACTGTGATTGATCTGCACCATTTTTCTGGTCGAAGGTACAGCAATATTACGATATCTTTACGAAGTTTTCCAGCGAGGATACGGTATCATATACGATCAGTAATACTGGAAGTTTGTTAAGAAGATCAGATGGCATAAAAACACACCCACACCCGCAAAAATTTTGAGACAGATTATCAGTTACTGTCGCTATCGAATCATATCTGTATATGGAATGAACTGGCTAAAAAAAAGACGAATCGATACTAGTATATACTTGATTTCACTGTAGGATTACGTTTGACCTAAAAGAGTACAGGAGACGATATTCGTAAAGTAATGACTACAGAATTTAAAACGTTATCTTTTGATGAAAAAAAAGTGTTTCAATCAAGCAAAAAAAACAGAGGAGAATCTTTGAAAATAGTAGCAGTTAAATTATTTATGAGTCACTCGATTGCAAAAAACAAAAACAACAATTTTTCATGAAACAGAACACGCATGGTTCGAATGACGAGTTCTTGTTATCAATCAAAAATATTTCTAGGCTTTTCTTGTAAAATTAGCTTTATAGCACTCTGAATTTCAATATTAGACAGTTTTATTCATATTATTAATGGTTGACATACAATACTATGGTGATATACTTTTTATTACGAGTAACAATCACAATGTCAATGAATAAATATGTTGACCTTGATCATAAAGAACGATTTCATGCTTTAACAACGATATCAAAATAAGACTAATTTATATAAAATAGAAAAAAAAAATTAATATTACAAAACGTTCTTTTAATAAAATTTCTTTTTGTTTTGATTACAGATCGTAATAATGATAATTGGTTGGTCAAATATGAAGTAAAATCTCTCAGTGCACGAGACAAGGTAGATTAACATACAGCTAGCAGAATTATATATGTTATCTAGCATTCGAAAATTTTTTTTTGTTTGTTTCTCCTAATTTGTTTTTCTGTATTGTTGCAGCTCCTTCAATCAATTTCTAGTCCACAACTTCGATCAGAGCAACAGGTAATAGAAAATACTGTATGTATGTATATCTAGATACAACTAACGTATCAACATCTATTTTTTCCTAACTAAGAATAACAAGATTTGACTAGTGCTGTAAAAATATCGATTATTTCAGACAAAATAGTACATAGCCATCTCTTATTTATTTACAAAGATTATTTTTCTAGATAATTTTTTTTTTAGTATAAACATATGGACAAATGTTGATTCTTTCAGTAAAGGTTTTGAGTTTCTTATTTTGTTTTACAATCATTTTTTATTTGTATATTCGTATTCCATCACGTAGCTAACGGTAGTTATTTAGAGATAATTTTTCTGAAGAATGAATCTCTAACACTGATTTTTTTTCCGAATATCTAGAGTAACCTAACATATCACTAATGTATAAAAATTAACTTTAGAAAAATTCATTATTCCAAAATATACATGTTTTATTTTTGTCACATCATATCGCTAACGAATGATTTTGCTCATATATATATATATGTTATCTAGACTGATAATAGCAATGAAGGTGATCCTAATACCGATGGTACTGTAAAGACTGCAATAGATGATACCACAACAACAAATGATATTCATATAGCAGCTATTGATAATGGTCTTGCATTTCCATTTAAACATCCAGATGAATGGCGTGCTTATCCATTTCATTGGGCTTGGTTAAAACAAGCTAAAGTTCCATTTTCTGATGAAATAATAACTCATATTTTACCATTTATATCTGATATGAATTTTGTTCAACATGAATTATGTGATGAAATTCAACGTTTATTTTCACAAGATAAAAATTATGATCGTCGATTAGTTGAACGACAATTATCTGTAATGCGTGGACAAATATTAAATTTAGCTCAAGCTATGCGTGATGGAAAATCACCATTTGAATTAGTACAAATGCCAGGTGTTCTTGTTGAACGTCTTCATATTGATCCTTCATTTGGTCATCGACAATTTAAGAAAAAATTTAATGATCGTTATCCATTATTTTCTTGGTTTTGAATTTAAACATAGACAAACTAAACATGCATCTAATTTTCTTTTTTTTTTCTTTACTTAGTTGATACATAATGAAAAGTGTATTTTTCTTAACCGTGATATATAAATATTCCGAAAAAAAAACTAAGATTTTTTGATAGTTTCATAATTAGAAATTAATTATTTATACATTTATAATGAATTAATTTACCTGAAAAAAAAATTATAATCTTTTTTTTTTTTTTATTAATATGATTCGGTATACATTCTTTTTTCATCTTTTATTTTCTGTTATACATGCAAATATATTTTGCATAACGTTTTTTAAAAATAAAATAAAATGTTTTACATAAAATTTTCATTCATATGGAATTTCAACATCTAAACCAACCGTATTTTCGTTGAAAAGAAAGCAGATATATGATCTATTTTGTGTGGTATATAAAAGTAAAGTCAGAAAACAGTTGTTGAAACATTACGTGATAGTGTTGTTCTCTTAAGAAAATGATTAGAATTATTTATTTGATTCTTTTGATGCATTCATTTTTTCATGCGTATATTCATCGAATAGATTCATATTAAGTAAAACCATTTCCAACAACGGCAATAGTAACAGAAATTAAAGTTAATAATCATCTATTAACAAAATCTTTCAACCTAAGTTTTTTTTTCCAGTATTCATGATAAATGTTTATTAATTTTAACTTGAGTACAGTTTTCAAACCAGAGAATCGTTTCACATGTATTCAATTGACTTGCCGAAATAATCGAATATTTTTACGACTATCTGTATCTTTTCTATATAAAATACTAAAAACTATTCAATCATTATTGCTTTCGAAATATAACTCTTTAATCTATTTAGCAGGGCTGCCAATGTTCGAAAGTGTACTAGCAATAAAATATCACAAAAGAAAACCATTTTAACGTTCTGTTTCAGTACATGAATTCAGCATTTGTTATTGATAAATTCTATCCACTTAAATATCACAAGATTATTAACGAATCGATGCTATTTATTCGTTTGATAGAGTTAAATGATGTGCCTATGATTTAGACAAAGAAAATATCATTTCGTTTTCGTTTGTTTATGATTTCTAATCTTTATCAATATGTTATAAAGCACTTTCATTATTTTGATTGAAAATTTTTTCTTTCGATTAAGACCACACATATAATTAAAAAAAGACTATTGCAAAGCTTTATTAAACTATTAGTGAAATGCGTCTTCCGATTGAAAAAGATGAAATATGAATTAGCATGTGTATTTATTTTTTTGACGCGAGTGTATGATCAGCTTTGAATACTACAGTATATACAAATTTTAAATATAACCTTTTTGATTTTTTCATATCAATTCTCAAAACCTGAAGAAACATACTTTCATGTCTATACGAAAAATAATTTATGAATACAAAAGAGTTAAAAAGAAGGAAAACTGTACATGATTGCGATCAATAGACTATGCTTTTTAAATCAATCGGTCTTCTTCTTCACTGAACTAGTCCGCACAGTTTTTTTGTTCGAGTCACAATAAAACAAAAACAGGCATCGACGATAAACCATCATTCATTATGACTAATTACTGAGATGTTATGGCGGATCATTTCTTTAAAAATATTTTACAAAAATACATAAAATTACAAAATAAGAAACATTTTTTTCTGCACTAGTTATAATCATACACGAAGTTTATTCAAACAACAATTGATCTATTGATAGACGATTCCGTCACACTGTACAAAAAGAGAAAATACAACGGTGTTTAATATCAAAATAGAAAAATTCGATGTGAAAAGCATAGAAGTTTTTTATTATAAAACCTTTACTATGCGTAGGTCAACAAAGTGATATTTACTATAATTATCTAGTTGTTTGAAGAAATATAGAGAATTAATGAATAACTGGAGTTGTGATGGATAATAAAAAAAAGAAAAGCATACTAAAACTCTATACGAACATTCTATTTGTATTATATGTTGCTTATGAGACTGAAATTTATTCATTTTCATATTCAAGCAAGCGACATATAAAATAAAAAATACGGAAGAGACAACAGTTTTATTATCATAGTGATATGAAAGATTTTAAAAATCATTATTCAATTTTTTTTCATATGGTTTTCACTAAAGCTTTTGTTCATGTTGAAAGTTACATGTAATTCTAAATTGTTTTTACATTTGTTATTGTTTGTACGGTTGATATAAATGGGTATGACATAATTGGTTGACCCTTAATAAAATAACAACACTATAGAAACAATACAACCAACTAACTAAATTACTTAAAGTATAAAATGACTTTTATTGATTAATATTTATCTATACACTTTGAAGTCTTTATTTCTACATCACATTAAATATAACAAAGTTGAATATTTTTGATTTACATATAAAATTTATCAAATGTTAAAAGGTTTCTTATTATTTCATTATAATTGAACATTTAAATATTGTTTATTAAAACATTTCAATATTATATGTCAGAATATTAAAAAACTCAATTCATGAAATCTGACTAAAATATATATGTCATCTAGATAAAAGTTCTGCTCCTTAAATTCACGAAAAGAACAAATAACCATTGACAACTTCATTTTGTATAATCGAACAAAAATTCATATGAATAATGAGTTGTCGATGAATAAATACATTGAGAATAAATCGTAAAGATATAAAAAGGGACAACATTACTTACTACATGATTGTCATTCATCAATATTATAGTAAGATTTAGAAAATATCTAATTTGTATTGATTTTAAGTTAAAAAACTAATATGAATCCTGATAGATTTTCAAATAAGATATTATAGGTTAATACATGGAATTAAGAAAATAGAGAAAAGAAATAAAATCAAAAATGATTCTACTAAAATTATTACCCATCGGCCATCAATACAACTTCTATTAATGAATTGACTGTCTCGTTAGTTTTGGTTCTTCTCAACAAAAATAAATTGTTGATTTTATGTTGAATTTAGTTATATTATACTAATATTGAAAGGTGTGTGAGTGTCAGTCTTCTCTTCATTCGCACTCACGCCCACATTCATCATCTGACATCTACATCAGCATCCCCACAAACTGTAATAAAGTATAGTGTACTAAATTCTGTGATCTGTTTTTATCATACAAATTAATTTATGTACTGCTATTATTAAGCATTCAATCCCTTAGATTCGCAGATATCATTCAATTATATTTTTTTTCAAAAACACAATGTTCAACACATATAAACAGGAATATGGGCAATAGTATGGACTCGATATTAACTATGTATGAAGATATATCAATCAAAATTTTTCGCTTTGAAGCTTTTTATTTATGTATACATGAATATACGTAATATATTACTTTCGTCAAAAGAAAAAGTAATTTGATTTTTTTCTACTACCTTTTGCTTCTTGATAGTTTTTCAAATATGAATATATTTCAATGTGATTTCGTATGCAATATTCACTGTGTGCACAAATCACTCAAGCAAATCGTTTCATGCACAACGTATGCATCTCGTGTAACTACGTTCGTGATAGAATGTATAGCAAAAAAATTAAAAAAAGAAAGAAGATAAGCACATGAATGAAGAGAAAGAAACGTATAAAGGTGCCTTACTGTAAACGTAAAAAAGAATCATTTGCAAAAACAAATAAACGGTATTACATAAACATTCACAAGCCAAATCAACAACAAGTCTGTATCAAATTATTCCAATATTATTGGCTTTTATTGATTTTATTGTAGTATGTAACTTATCTGAATAATAATAAAAATAGAAACAAGCTTATTAAATAGTACATGCATAGTGCCAATCTAATTTGTACAATAAGACACCATTTACATAGATATGCAATTGATCTTGATAATCGATTTATAAATATTGTTTTTAATCTCCTCGATTCACTTTGCTATCTTCCTCTCACCTTTATTTATAATTTAAATTAACCTCAATTATGGATGGTTTCTTAATATTACATATTTAGTTTACTTCCTTTTTTTGTCAATACTATAACTTCATGTTGAGTTACCTAAGAGACAAATATTGAGCTATCAAAATAGTGTAACGAAAGCTTAGCTCGTTCCAGAACTGTCTCAAGGCCATCTTAAAATGTTTCGAATCACTCAACGATGAAAAAAAATAGGAGTCTGAAAATCTTTGCACTATACTGTAAGGTATCAACGAGGAGCAGTATTATTTTGTGTCATACGGCGAAGACTACGGAATATATCAGATTCAATGATGTGAAGTTTCTGAGGCAGCAAATTTTTTATATTTTTTCATGGAAAAATATTATCTGTGAGACCTGTTAAGAAATATCTTATTTTACTAAATATAGTAGCTCTGCTAAAATAGAGTCCGACCTACAAAAACCTGTAAGAGTCAAACAGATCTTGTTTCTGCTGTGTATGTGTTTCCTCTCTAGTCCACATTCTGTTTGTATACTTCCAATGTAACTCTTAGTTTCGAAAAACAATAAAACAATTATAATATCAGTGCAGTAGCATCTCGCAGGTGGCGATTTCACGTGCGAAAATATCGTGCAAGAAGTTTGACGCTAGACTGCATTGCGAAAGACAGATACATGAACGACTTGGGACTTGACACGTTTTCCATTGATGTTCTCGAAAATTCGTTCAAGTCATTAGATAGTTAATCTAAAACATAGAAAATACAGAGATGTAGGATTTAGAGAAATTTTAGAAGATAATGCCATAGTCTGTGAGTATACTTACATGGCAATCGGATCTAGTGTGGTACCGAGTGGCGTCGATATCGTAAGAGTTTGACGTGTTGCACTTATTAAATGAATGAATATTTAGTCGAACAAGAAATTCTGTCGTCCTTTAGTGAATAGGTATCTTTTGATTATACAAACGAAGAGTATAATGTATTGTCAGTGATTGTTATAAAATAGTGTCGAGTTTTGTATACATTCCCATAATAAGTATAGGAAGCTAAATGAAATAATTTCAAATGTATTGAAAAAATAAATAATACTAAAAAAATGTCTAAACCTCATTTGCTT